CGCTTCCCATCTATGCGCCCACCCCATCTGCTGTTCCACTTGCTCCGCCTGGATTGTCCGCTGCTACCATGCCCCCAGCGGGATCTGAGACTTTTCAGCGGCACAGCTTATCCGTTCACCAAGAGTTTCGCGCATAGTTGAACTGAGCCTCCTCTGCCAGCCTCCTACACCTCCGCAAACCCCACCTGAGGTGGCTCGGCTGAGAGAAGCACCTCTCTCCATGGTTCTGGTGCTGCTGCAAATGCCTTGAGCGCTAGCTTTGCAGCTTCTTTCCCCCGTACCTCCCTTTCCAGGGCGATGAGGTCCTTCAGCACACCTCTCCCCGTCTCATCTTTTTTTACCAGGTCCCCCAGCCGGACATCACGCAGCTGCTTAGCCGCCTTCTGTCCACCGATTGGCGTAGTCCTCTTCTCACCAATAAAGATGTGTTTGTTAAACACGATCCTTTCCAACGCAGCCTCCTCTCTCCTCCGGTCAATCCCTGTCACCGCCAGCGGAGAGTGCATGAAGTTTTCACACGCGAGTTTCCAGCGCTGAATCTTCCCCTCCCATGTTTTCAAAAGCTTCTCATGTGCCAAGAAGGTATCCAACCCCAGCGGTAAGTCTGCTGCCTGGCGCATCAGGTTCCGTTTGAGCTGGTTAGTCTCCGTGAGGACCGTCCCAATCCGTCTGGCCGTAAAGCAGGTGAGCATGGCTTCTGGGTCTTTCGCTCCCACTCCCCCCTCCATTACCGGCATGTAGAGCAGCTCTTTATTCCAGAGAAAAAAGCACTTGTCTGATGTAACTTAGTTCGCCAACATGAAGGTATGGGAGAGCTTTGTGATTACCCCCCATATCCGTGCAGGTGGCGGGTACACCTGAGCCTGAGACCATGCGATCAGGAGGATGTACCCATCCATCACCGCCCTTCTTGCCTTAATCGGGAGACCCACAATCCTCTCCAGAGCTTTGTCCCACGTTGGCTGGCAGCTCCCACTTGGCATGACCCAAACACGAAGGAGCTTCTCTGCTTCATCAGCGCCTGCCCATCTGAAGCCATCAGAGCGCCATGTAGTTTTATCAAGGCGTATACCTAGCGGGAGCACAACTGACTTTCCTTTATTTGTTACCAGCCCCGAAATGCTCTCAAACTCCTCTATTATCTCCTCCGCTTTGCTGATTTGTTGTTTCCCCTGCAGCAGGAGGGTGTTGTCATCAGCATATCCAATGTACGAGAGCCGTTGCCTTACGCAGCTGGTGAGAGTGATCCCGATCTTCTTCTTCTCCACCTTTTGCGCCAACGGCTCCACCGCGCATAGAAATAGATATGGTGCAAGGGGACACCCCTGCCTGACACCAGACACCACGTCCACCACTTCGCCCAGCCACCCATTGACAAGCAAGTTTGTGCGCGTGTTCTCATGCAGGCCCCTCACCCAACCGATGAAGCGATCAGGGAATCCCATCTTTTTCAGAACTTCGAAGATGAAGTCACTGGATATGGAGTCGAACGCTTTCTTAAAATCGACAAGCAGCATGAACCAGTCCTCGTTGCCGTTCTTCGCCGCGTCAACAACATCAGCCACCAGCCCAACCGCGTCAGAAACACGTTTCCCTGGTATGAATCCAAATTGCTCTTTTGAGATCACTTTATGAAGTATCCTCTTGATCCTGCTTGCCAAAAACCGCACCAACATCTTATAGCTGACATTTAATAGGGTTATCGGCCTGTTATTTTCGAGCTGATCCTTCGCCCCTTTCTTGTGCAGGAGGATTGTGACAGCATCCTTGACACTGGTCGGGAGCACGGCAGAGGCAATAAAGCTCTCCACCAGCGACATGCGATGCCTCCCTAGCACGTCCTAGTGTTGTTCAAAAAGCTCCTTCGGGATCCCATCCTTCCCCGGGGTTTTGTTGCCGGCCATTTCCCGGAGGGCTTTTTTCACCTCTGCCTCCGTCCAGTCCTCCTGCAGGCCCTCCACGTCCGAGAACCACAACCTTTTCCCTGCCGCTGGAACCCATTCCGCAACCGCTGTTCTTTTGTCCGCTCCGAAGAGACTCCGGTAATAATCCGACGCTGCTTCCAAGATTTGTTTTCGATCGGCTATCATCCCGCCCGGGACCGCTAGCTCCACTATTTGCGTGTTGGCCTTCCGCACCTTAATCCTTACCGACAGATGCGGTGAGGGGATTTCACCGACGAGCTCTTTCGCCACCCCGGCCATGGTGTGAGTCCTTTCCCTTCGGCAAGCATGGTATTCCTTAATCTGCCGTTCTTGCTTCCTTAGCCTCTCCCTTAGCAGCTGGTCTTTTGGTTTACACATGAATGCTTGCTTCAAAACTGCGACGGATGAAGCAAGGTGATTAATCGTCCCCCTGATCCGCTTGCTCTCCTCTTTAGCGTACGTACGAAGGCCGACGTTCAAGCGGGAGATAAGAACCTCGAAACCTCCCCCTTCCCGCGCAACCTGGCGTTCCACCTCCTCCGTTAACTTTCGAATTCCTGGTCTGTGCATCATGGAAGCATGCAGGCGCCACAGCCCCGGGCCCGTCTGCAGCTGTGATTTGATCTTAAAAGCGATACGGATGGCGAAACCATGGTCAGAACGAGTTTATCAGGCATGACATGCAAGGCCGACACAAGGCGCGGGAGCAGGGAGCGAGAGACCAGCACTCGATAGATCCGCGTGCTTTCCTGGTGCGCCTGTGCATAGAAGGTAAACTCTCGCTTAAACGGGTATAGAGCGCGGAAAGCGTCAGCGATGTCAAAGGGTTTGCAGTGTTGATAGAGGTGATCATTCTTCCTTGTTGAGCCCTGCTTCGATGTCTTGTCAAGGATTGGATTTTCAACTATGTTAAGGTCTCCGATTATCAGCAGGTGAGAGCCCGGGGGAACAAGGTCAACTGTCGGACCAAGCACTGTCCTGATGAACGCTCGTCTAACTATCTTGTTCGAGGGGAAATACGTCGCTATCAGGGTGAGATGCAGGCCTGCGCAGTGAATTTTAGTCTTAACTAGTCTGCCAGAAGGGTGAGCTGTCGGGTTGTGAAAAGTAAGGTCAGTTCTACGGCTGAGGACAGCAACTCCTCCAGCACGGGTGACAGGCGTCAAGGCGGCAAAGGCGGTGAGTTTAAGGGTGGTCCAGTACGGGTTGTTTTCTGCTATCCTGGTGTCTGAGAGAATCATTACGTCTGCTGATTTGGTGCTACATGTCCAGTTTTTTGTGCGCTTCCGTTTGTTGTTATCACCCAGGCCGTTTACATTCAGGCCCGTGAACGAGAGGATGTTGCGTGTATTCATTTAAAACCAGGGTGCACATTCAACGCGGTTCGGCTTGAGATGTTGGGAAGGGGGTTTGGAGAAAAACAGTGATTGGCTCACGAGGGGCGACAAAAAAATGATTCCGCTAGAGCTTCGGGCATTTCGTAGGTGGCGGGAGGGGGTGAAATGGCAAGTGTGGGTGAAACCGAATGGCGGGAGGGATGAAACAGATTGGCGGGAGGGGGGGGAAACGAAATTGCGGGGGAGGGGGGAAACAAAATTGCGGGGGAGGGGGGAAACGAATTTCGACGGGGAGGGGGAAATGAAATTGCGGGGGCGTGGGGAAACGAAATTGCGGGGGAGGGGGGAAACGAATTTCGACTCGAAGGGGTTGAAAGCACACCTCGTAACCCACTCAGTCAAGGGATAACCTTTGATGCACATTCAGCTGAATGTGCACCCCGGTTTTAAAACCCGTATTTCACTTGAACTGGAGTGCAAACCTGGGATTGGTGCACGGGTAGCGAAATTCTGCACGAGAGGAGGGGTGATTTGGGCGAAATGAGAACATTGTACACCCTGTTCTCGATAATTTCACACCCCCTGATACCGAACCGCGTTTTTTTTTTGCCTAAGAGGGTGTGAGATTAGGGGGGCAAATAATGTCCCCCATAATTTCACACTCGAGGCGCGGTCGCGCTGTGCTGGCAGGGATCGAAACCGGACTTGAAAACAACCAGGAGGTGTTGACGATCTTGAACATATATCTGCGACCAATGAAAAACTGTCACGTCAGGATTACGTTTATCGTAACCCTGACCACAAATTTGAATCACAGGTTCAAATCCGAAATAGAAAGACCCAATCACAATTGGCATCCAAAATTGACACTCGCATGCTTTTCGAAATTGACACGCCCTTGTGGCATATGCGGTACCACTACTGCAACCGTAAAAGGTGTAACGAAAATTGAAACCGGGTTTCCTAAACAGATTTGGATGCGACCCGATGAGATCACTAAGCTCCCCCATTTTCCGAGTTGCCGATAGTATAAATGGAGGTCATTTCATCATTCGTCATTTCAACCATCCTTCACGATTCGCCAGCTTGGCAGCCCAAAGCCTTTGATGGGGAGCCCGAGTCGGGGTGTAAAATTAGGAAGTGTGAAATTATCGAGAATAGGGTGTACCCTCAACACCAAACCTACCGCCCTAACCTGATGACACACCCAAACCTTTGAATAACAGGTTCGTCAGGTTTGACACTCCCTGCGACAAACCTGCACGACGTAAACACAACACACATTTTCGAAAGCAGTCACGCAACCACCAGCACATCGTCATTGTAGCCTGCCCTTCTACACATAGAGAAATTAAACGTCATTACTGCTCATTCGCCCGTGACAATCTCCTCTCACAGCTAGCTACGGAATCGTAAATGTCTGCTCAAGCGGATAATGGGCACGGAGCTAGTGGAATGGCGGAAGGCCCCGACGCCGTTGCGGATCGAGGCTCCGTGGAAACCGCACGTGAGTAAAGCAATTCGCGCACCCATTGAGTCCCGCGCATTGGCCACCACAGTATCTTATAACCCTTGGTTTGAGTCGCCATCATCGTACTCCCGATAATGGACCCGGCGCTTCCCCACCGTCGCCCTCCGCACTTCCACACAGTCGATGCACCCATGAGCCCACGCAATGAGCCCCCTTCCCGTCGCGCACCCTCCCCTTCCCCCTCGCTAACATGCCCGCATAATACCCATGCGCGCCCGCCCCATCCCCCACGCGAGCCCTTCCCTTCCTCTATTTGTGCTCTCCCCTTCCCCCTCGCATTTTGCGTGCTCTTTCCCCCTCAATGCGCTCACTCCACCTCCCCCGTCACTGTCACTCCCCTTCCTCGTCGCGTTCTCTCCCCTTCCCCCTCGCTACCGTGCTTGTTCCCCTCCCGTGCGCTCCCTTCACTTCCCCCGTCACTGTCACTCCCCTTCCTTATCGCGTTCTCTCCCCTTCCCCCTCACTAGCGTGCTCGTTCCCCCCACATGCGCTCCCTCCACTTCCCCGCCACTCTCACTCAGCTACCTCATCGCGTACTCTCCCATTCCTCCTCGCTAGCGTGCTCGTTCCCCTTCCATGGGCTCCCTCCACTTCCCCCGTCACTGTCACTCCCTTTCCTCGTCGCGTTCTCTCCCCATCCCCCTTTGCTAGCGTGCTCTTTCCCCCCCAATGCGCTCACTCCTACTCCCCCGTCACTGTCACTCCCCTTCCTCGTCGCGTTCTCTCCCCTCCCCCCTCGCTAGCATGCTCGTTCCCCCCCCGGCATCGACCCGTCAGCCACATATTCCCACTCACCTTTCCCACCTTCCCGATTTCATAGCCACATAAAAGCATGGCCCTTTCCCCCCTGTATCCCTCCACCACACCGATCCGCAGGTGTGCGTTGCCTCTTAGCCCCACACCATGCCATCATTGTACGTCCCACAATCCATCGCCCACTCCGGCGACATCTCACTCCCAGGTGGATTGCACACTCACACACCCCTTGTCATTGTGATTTGAGTGTGTCTAATCTCGATACCTTATTGTGTCCCATCATGTAGTGAGCATCGCCTGTTGAAGCGTTGGCGTGGGCTTCTGGGTAGAGTGAATAAGCTGGTTGAGGTGGATGAGGCCGGTGTGGTGGTTGACGAAGGAGGTGCAAGCAGCCCCATCACGAACAAGTGTCGTGTGAACACAAGCCAGCATTCTCCACCAAGCATCCAACTTTCACAATACATGCATCGCGTGCAGCAACCAACCCGAAAGCCCCGTGTCAGGGTTCTCCCATTATACAGTTGGTCGTTGCCCCATTTTGCCCGTACCTTCTCTAAGCAGTATGAGGTGTTGGAACAGTGGGGTGCTAACTCATTGGGCCTGCCATTTGACAGCCAGGAGCAGCTGAGTACAGCGGGGCGGACGGTTGAAGCCATTGTTTGTGTTTGTTGTGGTGCAAGCACGAGTGAATCCTATGATGGGATGGCAATGGAGCCAAAACACCATAGGTTCAGGTGTTACCTCGACTACTCGAACCTCTTGAGCAATCGTGAAAACGGCAAGGTCATTCTTCCATGGATAGTATATGTGGCTATCGGATCATTGTATCCGGAGAAGGGAGATGAGGGGTACCTAAAATGTTGCGCGCACGATATCGAGTACTTCCTGCATGGTTGGAAAGTTCCAGATGAGATAGGTTTTGAAGCATCCTGTTGGGATGCCATGTCATCGTAGCCACATAGAGAAAACCTTGAACCATGGGCTATGCTTCTTTAAAATGGAGGGGTGAGGGGAGAAGAGGCGTAGTTTATTCAGCCATACAGATTGGAAACAATTTGTAGTCTACAGATCGTTGCAAACCATCCTAATTCTACCTTCACTATATGTTGGCAAGTATGAAAGGACATGATTGGATTAGGGTCTGACATGCAGCCAAATGGGTAAATGTACTGCACTGTGTGCAGGACCATGCCTCTTAGCATAGTGTAGAAGCTCCTATGGAAATGGCCTATGTGAATGTACTGCACTATGTGGAAGATGTTAACAACTACATGTGCCGAGGACGGTTGTGTCATGCCCTTATGCGATGAGTGGAGTGGTAGCATGAAATCTCCACGTTCGCGCGTGCCTGAAATTGTCGGGGAAAGGGGAGAATATGAGAGACGGTAGAGGTGAAAAAACAGAAGGGGCATGATTCTAGCATCGGCTCTGGTGTTACAGCATGATGGAGTTGCTAGGAAAATAGAGGAGAGGGAAAGAGAAGGGTTTTGGGAGAGAGAAAGGAGGAAAAAGGAAGTGGGGGTGGAGGGAAAGGAGGAGTTAGGAAGATGGCGGACATGGGCGTCGGAAGAGGGGAAACAGGGAAGAGAGGAAACATCGACAACGGGAAGGAAGAAAGGGAGGTGATGCTATGAGGAGAGAGATGGATTATAGACTTAGGGAAGTGAGGAAACTAGGAGCACGGGAAAGAGGGACTGGGTTGGGTGGGAGAGAGGGAAGGGAGGTTATAGGATGCGGGGAGCGAGGGGCAGCGGTGATAGCCACAATAGGGAAAGTGGAAAAAAAGGAATCGGAAGGGAACTCAAGAGGGCAATGGGTGCACATGAATGGGGAAACTGAGAGCTGGTGAGTGGAAATCGAGAGCAAGAAAGTGGAAAACACAGAGGGATGGGAGAGCAGGAGGGTAGCGGGTTTATCAGTCAGGTAGAGGCGCGGCACCCGCCTGCTGAGTGCGCCCGGAGACCACACCTGGGAGGCGCCTGTGGGGGAAGTGCGGGGGGAGAGGGGTTGGGGTGATAGGAAGAGAAGGGTGGTAGCGGGTAGGCAGTCTGGCAGAGGCGCGTCACCCGCCTGCTGAGTGCGCCACCAGACCACACCTGGGAGGCGCCTGCGGGGGAAGTGCGGGGGGAGAGGGGTTGCTCATAGGCTTCTTCTTCCTTCCCATTCCGAAGGAGACGCATCGGAAGGGCGAGGAGCAGCAGAGGAGAAGCTGTTCCAATGGAGCAGCAGAGGAGAAGCGGATGAGAGGAGCAGTAGAGGAGAAGAGGAGGCGAGGAGCAGTAGAAGAGGCAAAGGAGCATAAGAGAATCCCCTGCCACTGCTTGTGAGGAGCAGAGGAGATGGCGCTGAGAGGATGGGAGTAGCTGTGGAGCGAAAGAGAATCGCCTGCCCCTGCTAGAGAGTATCTCCTTTGCTGATCTCTGTTGATGGTCATTGCTGCATTCGCTCTGCATTCATTCTGAAACACTTGTTGGCACGGGGTGCAATCGGTGCAATGAGCAGCAGTGAAGCGAGATCATGGCTTTTCTCCAATCCGCAGGAAATGAGTTGTCGCAGAGGAGATGGCGCAGAGGAGGTGGATAAAACGTTCACTACACCGTCGGTCTTCGTCGTACGGTGATCCTCTTTCTTGCTTTATCTGTTTTGTTTGGTTGATTCTTTATTTGTCACGCATCTGCTTTGAGTTATTTATGCATTGGGTGCAATCAGTACCATGCTCTCATCGGCCTTGTGCCACGCCCCTCCCATCACAGACGGTGCTATGAGGCAGAGAAGCAGTGGAGAAGGAGCAGCAGAGGAGACGAAGCAGCAGGGGAGACGAAGTAGAGGGGGGAGACGAACGAGGGACGCGCGGAGTGATGCTTTCTCGGTCTTGGAAACGGCAGATGCTACCTCACAGAGTGCTGCAGAGTGAAGGGGGCAGCAGAATGAAGGGAGCAGCGGAGTGCTGCTGTGCTGCAGCAGGGGAGCAGAGATGGCCTATCAGCGCTCCTACCAACTCTCTCCCCACTCATGAAAAAGGCAGCTGCTAACCCGCTCGCTCCCCCCTCCCTCCAGTGTGTTGCTTCTGGTGCGGTGGAGTGATAGGAGGACAGGTGAAGTGGAGTGGAGGGGCAAAGGAGATGTGCAGCAACAAAAGGAGAAGCAGTTATAGAAGAGAGGCCACAATGACACTACCGGTGGCAGCAACAGAGAAAACCAGCAGTGACACCAGCGGTGGCTGCAGCAGTGGGAGCAGCAGTAGCAGCAGCAGCAGCAGTGGAGGGAGACGGCTGAGACCTGCTGGGAGGAGCATAGAGAAGATGTGAGGAGAGCGGGAGTGAGAGTGAGCGGAGTGTTGAGAACTGCAGCAGGCTGCAGGGCGAGGGTGAGGGGAGGAGCGAGCGAGTGCTAGATTGAGAGGGAGAGTGGGGTGTGAGGACCTCGTTTGCTGGTTTGAGGAGCCTCAAATCCAGTCGTGAGCTGCCGGTGGCAGTTTTGTTGTGTCCTGCAGTCGCATGCAGTGATCCGTTCCTCGTATCAAAACTTGCAGTGTGCAAAATTGTTGACAACTATTGAGATCTAGAAGCTACTATGCACACCTTTAATTCACACTTAACAGTCCCCACAGGGTCACCTCCAAGGGTCCTTGGGTGCCTGGCAAAGCTAGCCCCTAACCAAGGGTCCGTGTGTTGTAGAGGGACACGCCAAGTATGGAAAACGGTCGTGTGCAATAGAGCATTCTCAGAACTCCTTGCGCAGCGTTATGACGACGAACTAGTCGTGTGCAGAAAGTTCTCTTCACGTCAATGCGATGATAGAGAAAAACTTCACTCAAAGGATTGATTATAACCAAACACAAGCACGCATTTATATTTCGCCTAACACACAAGCACAAGAAAGCACAGAGCAGTTGTTAAACTAGACTTCAGGACTTCGCCACATGCGCCAAGGAAAACGGTTGACGAACTGCTTAGGAATTTGGCTTGGTTCTCCCCTTTAGAATAACTGTCTTCAAATTTCATGTCTGCCAAATTCCCCTGCTGACTCCCCTCGTGAATGTTCGCGACTTCTTGTGTGCAATCATAAACGCTCGTGTGAGATTACTGTTTTCACGAAGTCTCACAGCTGAAAAACGTTTTTCACCGTTTTTCTCCTGTATCGAAATTATCCCTTTAGACGCGCGACACTTCTCGCGAAATTACCTGCAAGCCGAGTCAACGCGGGATTCGGTTTTTCCCGAGCACCCTCCGACTGCAATCATAGCACGACTGATATTTCGGTCGTGCTGCACAGTGCGATCGCGTCAGCGATTGTGCGCACTGTACAGTGCAAACATGCGCTGTCCTGCGCGTGGGCAGGGCGATCATTCGCCCTGTCTTGTTGCGATCGTGGGCCCTGCCACGCTCGCAACAGTGCGAGGGCACACGTTCGAGCTTGAGGGCCCACACGCACGACCATGACCCCACGCGCGGTTGACCTTGACCAGCGCGATAAATATTCAGGGTCAAAATTGACCCCTCACGAACACTCACGTCACCTCATGAACACTGTTACGGGTGCAATGAATCGAAGTAGCGAGAATTGCACTAAGGTGTCAAACGAGTACAAAATGTGAGCGAAGGCATGAGCGAACATTTATACGCGAAACATGCAAACGGTAACGCGGTGCGTGCGAGCTAGCTAGTGCTACCCTGGAGCGAGGCTTGGGCTAGTTGTCAGAACATTATAGCTTATGCTGTTGTGTAGGCTATAGTGGGGTATCCCATAGGGGGTACAACCAATTAGGGTTTCATATTTGTACTCACTTCATTTTCATAGTTCATCCATTCTTGCTCAAATCTTCTCATGGTATCGAGCAGGTTCCCCCTCGGGAACTGTGCTTAGGGCCCACCACATCTAAATTTTTTTCCTGCCCGAAGCGCGCTCGGCCCGAGTCGCGCTTCGGGCCCTCACTTCGTCGAGCCGCCCTAGCGGCCCTGCACTGCGGCCCCGCCGCCTCTCTCCTAGCGGCTCAGCCGCCCTACCTAGCGGCCCCGCCGCCCAACCTAGCGGCTCCGCCGCCCCATCGCGGCCCCGCCGCCCCATCGCGCGGCCCCGCCGCCCCATCGCGCGGCCCCGCCGCCCTTCCTCGCGGCCCCGCCGCCCCATCGCGCGGCCCCGCCGCCCCATCGCGCGGCCCCGCCGCCCTTCCTCGCGGCCCCGCCACCCCATCGCGCGGCCCCGCCGCCCCATCGCGCGGCCCCGCCGCCCCATCGCGCGGCCCCGCCGCCCAACCCAGCGGCCCCGCCGCCTCATCGCGCGGCCCCGCCGCCCCATCGCGCGGCCCCGCCGCCCCATCGCGCGGCCCCGCCGCCCTACCTAGCGGCCCCGCCGCCCTTCCTCGCGGCCCCGCCACCTTACCTGCGGCCCCGCCCTTACCTGCGGCCCCGCCGCCCTCTGCTGCGGCCCCGCCACCCTATCTGCGGCCCCGCCACCCTACCCGCGGCCACGCCGCCCTTACCAGCGGCCCCGCCGCCCTTACCTGCGGCCCCGTGCCCTGCAGCAGCACAGCCGAGCCGCCCAGCAGCCGAGCCGCCGAGCCGCCCAGCAGCCGAGCCGCCCAGCCGCCGAGCAGCCGAGCCGCCCAGCAGCCGAGCCGCCCAGCGGCCGCGCCGCCCAGCAGCCGAGCCGCCCAGCAGCCGAGCCGCCCAGCAGCTGAGCCGCCGAGCCGCCGGGCCGCCCAGCAGCTGAGCTGCCGAGCCGCCGCGCCGCCCTCCTTCTGGGCCGCCCGACCTGCCCAGTCTGGTGAGCACAGCGCCTTTTCGCTGCACTGTCCTCACCCCACTGTTTGCGCTGCTAGTCGTCTAGGGTCATGGCTACCCCTAGTGTTCTCGCCTTTGACGCTGAGGGTAGGGCCATTGACTTTGAGGTCTGGGTAGATGACCTGCAGCTGTTCTTACAGTGCGATAGGGCAGACGGCCTCTCTCTCTTTGACCTCACCTCTGGCACCTCCACTGCCCCTGCTGCTGATGCTGACGCCACTGTTCGCTCCCAGTGGGCCACGCGCGACGCTGCTGCACGTCTTGCTGTGCGTCGCCACCTCCCTACCTCCGAGCGTGCGCACTTTAGTCAGTACAAGAGTGCTCAGACCTTGTACGACGCTGTAGTTGCGCGCTACTCCTCCCCTGCCACTGCTGCACTGAGCCGTCTCATGCTACCGTACCTCTTTCCTGATCTTACTGCCTTTCCCACAGTCACTGACCTCATTACGCACCTCCGCACTAGTGACACTCGCTACCGCGCTGCACTCCCTCCTGACTTCTGCGCCAGGAACCCCCCCCCCATGTACATCACTCTTTACTACATAGTCACTCGCCTTCCTGACTCCCTTCGCGTAGTCAGGGACCACTTTCTCTCTGTCTGTCCCACCACTCTCACTGTTGACCTCCTCGAGAAGTCCCTCCTAGCGGCCGAGAAGAGCATAGTCGCTGTAGGGGCCTCTCGTGGTGACCCGCGCACCCCCATCTTTGAGGGGTGTTCCCCCTCCCCCCTTCTGCCCTCTGTTGCCTCTGCTGCTGCGGCCGACCTCCTTGTTCTTGAGTCGGTCGGTGCGGCGTCTGCCCCTAGCGGGAGACGCCGCTCTGGCAAGGGCAAGGGGGGCAAGGGCGCTGGAGGAGCGAGCGGGGGCGGTGGAGGTGGAGGTGGCGGCAGTTGGGGGAGTGGGGGTGGCGGTGGGAGTGGAGGTGGGGGTGGAGGGGTCGGTGGCGGCAGTGGAGGAGGAGGTGGCGGCGGCGGTGGCGGTGGGAGCGGAGGTGGAGGAGGTGGCGGAGGTGGAGGCGGCGGCGGAGGCGGAGGCGGCGGCAGTAGCCGAGGCGGCGGAGGCGTCGGAGGCGGCGGGGGTGGCGGTGGTGCTGGTCGCGGGTCTTCGCAGAGGAGTGGCTCCGGTGGTGGCTCGCGCCAGCAGCAGCAGCGTGGTCGTGACACCCTGTCCCCTCAGCAGCTTCGTGAGTGGTACACTGCGCGTCAGCAGGGTGGGGGTTTTGGTCCGTGCTCCTACGTTTTGCGCACCGGCGACCGTGCGGGTGAGCAGTGTGGGGGTCCCCACCCCACCCAGCGCTGCTTTGGCCGCCTGACGGACGCGTGGCGTCACCAGTTCCCGGAGGCCTCCGAGATCCCTCGCTGGGGCGAGCTGTCTAGGGCGGGTGTTGCCATCTATGATCTTGACTTTGATGCTATTCTCTCTGCCATGTATGCTGTGTCTATTAGTGATGAGGGTGACTGTTACCGGTGTTTCCCGCCCGATCCGGGCATTGGGACTGCTGCTCTAGGTCCTGGTGAGGCTGCTGCCCTAGGTGCTTGCGACGCTGCTGCTCTAGGTGCTTGTGTGTCTGCGTCCTCAGGTACTGGTGAGTCTGCGCTCTCAGGTACTGCGTCGGCTTCGGCCTCCCTCACCTTCACCCTTGACTCTGGGGC